GTATTATTTGATTGTAATTTAAAAATATCTCACATATATTATTTATTTGAAACGTTTAATGGATATTTTTGTATTTAATTTATACATCATAAAATGACATAATAAACTAAAATGTTATTGAAAAAAATTTATTCAGACTTTTACATTATTAATAATAAAATAAATTATTTTAATAACAATATACATATATCACAGCATATACTTATTAATATAGGCAGACAAATCATATAAATTCAGTATTGTTTTTCGTATACAATGATTAAATCATTGAATTTAAATTTAACACATAGGTTACAGTGACTTACTCCTCAATGACGAATTTTACTCAACATTTACTGTACAACAGAAATACAAAGCAGTTACCTATTTACGTTTTGCGTTTAATAATTTATTTACAATCTATATTATATTTGTGTACAATAAAAAAATTTTAATCTAATACCAAATTTGATATATTTGATTTTTCTTTTAAAGATTTAAGTTATTTTTTTAATATTTGATACTTTTAAACACTTTTTTCCTTCATCGAAATCCAATTAATCAATGTGGTATACTTACCGTATATGTTAGATAAACATTGGTGTAGAAACGCAATGATGTTTACTTTTAGTAAGCGATGATGGATTTACTGAACCGAGTCATAAGGTATCGGAAGTCTATCGTTTACTTTGGATGGTTCAAAGAGATTTTTGAATGAAAACAAAATTAAAAAATACATGTGGCAATGACAAATTCCATTGGATGATTACCAAAATATATTTCTTTTTTTTTATATATTTTGTCTTCAATGTAACGCCATGCGCAATATCGTTATGAAATTATATTGCTTATCTAAGACAGTAGTGTAATATGAATTCTTTTACATGTATTATGGTACCTTCGCTGCCACCGTCACCGTTCTGCGCGAATTACGTCCGCCGAACGCGTTCAATGTTTCCGGTTGACAAACTTTGGTTATGACCACCATAGATTTCGGTAACGAACAAAGTTTTACTATACGATTCACCAACGACTGCACTGCAGTAAACTTGGTCGGTACTTGACTTTAAGCGTATTAAAAAAAAAAAAAAAACCATTACTTCCACTAGACAATTTTTGACAGAAATAGTGATTAATAAGAAACGAATCTATTTTTTTTTTATCTATTACACAAGATGTAAAAATTAAAAAACAAAAATCAATATAAAATTACCTATAATTATTTTATTTTATATTTTTATAACTGCCTAATATTTTATTTATACAATAAACAATTGACTAGGTATAGTGAATTATTAAAAAATATATGTATACATAGATCATATTTAAATTTTAGTTAAACAATTAATATAATCTTATTTCAAAATACATAACATCTTATGAATTTTTACATAATTTATAACAAAATTATTGTATTTTACGACTTGAATCAAAAAATTATACTAATTTGAATCATAAATTATATTTAACTAAATAAATTATTTTACTTTTTTTTTAAATTATATTTTATTATTTCTTTTAATATACACAATTTTAAGTTTTTTGGTCATTGCTGACTTATACAAAAACAAATAAATAAATAATAATAATAAACTCAGTAATTAAATCAACGAAAATTGATACAATATACTATTATTAAACATTAAAATTAACGATTGAATAATTAACGATACATGAATAATATAAAAATATCAAATATAATAAAAACTAAATCACATCTATAATTTAATAATAATTTACCTACTTATTTATTAGTATAGTTAAAAAAGAATATAATTTATGTTTCAATATTCATCTAACAGCTAACATTTTATATTATGGCAATGAACACAATTGTTTTAATTTCGATGATTATTTCATTTTTTTTTTTAAACAAGAATTCTCTTAAGTATTTGATACAAAACAAACTATAATATTATCAAAAAAAGTTATAACAAGAAGTCAATGATTTCATTTGAAATTATTGAAGTGTGAACAATAAATTCATTTTATAGGTACTTCTTTTCGAAAATGTCTACTTGTAGATCAACGTGAAATAAAAATAGTAAAAAGTCAATGTAAAAATATTTTGTTTCTTCAAAAGTTATGTTGGAGCATTGTACCCTTTGCACTACATTTAATCCAGATTATTTTCTCTCGAATGCTCGCTAGCTATACCACGAACCCTTTATTAATGTTTTCGTAGTCCGTTGACTCTCATCCTTTAATTTAGCATGGGTCTTTATAATAGGTGACATAAAAACAATTTAATTTCTGGTACTATATTCACATTAAAATCGATTACTTACATGTTAAACAAATTTATAACTTTCATATGTCATCTCAAGAGATCTGTATACAATATTTCCGTAATCCGTTCGTGATTCAACCCAATTCTCTCTCCTCTATTTCTCTCACACATTTTTTACTACGGCTACTTATTACTAGCTCTAATATATTTAAATTTATATAATATACATTGTTTCATATTTGTATATTTATTTATTCTGATTATTTTAATTATAAGTTAAGCATATATTTAACACATCTTCCATTTTAATTTATATGTTCTTAAACCTTTTTTATTGATTTATAACAACTATTGATATAATATATTTGTATATTGAACTCAATCAAATGTATATACTGAATTAAAAATAAAAATAAAAAACATAACGTTAAAAATGCACATGAAATGTAACTGGTGTTTTTCTTTTTTTTTTTTAATTTATATTTGTTTTGCAAAATATTTAAAATTATCATAGTAAAAGTTGTGTTTAAGTCAAATATATACCTATATGATTATATGTTATGTAACACATTTTAATGATTATGGTATACGAATTTATTAATACAATCTAACATGTTGTGTACTCGTACTACCTTATTCAAATACATGCATAAATATTAAAACAATGATGTTATAAAAATCATATATGTATTCTTCTTATAGTCATAAAATCAATTAGTTTATGTAGAAAATATATTAACCATCACGGATTTTGAATTTCAGGACATACGTATTTTATATTATTTGAAATATCCGATTTTATTTCGTAATATAAAATCTATAGCTTTAGGACCAATCGCTGCTTAGGTTATGTCCATAAATATTCTATTGTTTATATCTATCAGTAGTAGAATCCTCAAACATTTTCATCGCGATTTACCAGCTTGTGGATAAATCTGCGTAAACGTACCGTATGCCTTCTATAGCCGAACACTTCAAATAGTTGTTCGTATAACGCTCTTTTTACGATATTTAAGAATGTCACTTGGTATCTTTTCTATAAATAAAAATGGTCGTTTTAGTCAACCATTGACGATACAAAACCACTAGTATCCTACCCACGTGGATATACATTTCAGTTACCATTATTTCTTTATGTATTTTCTGCATATGGTACATTTTTACCACACGTTTTAGTGTTTTATCAATAGGTACATAATATACTACTTACGTATTGAAAAAATGTAGTTAATGAATGATTTACGTTAGTTTTTTAAATAATTATATAATATAACAATACGTAAATAATAATGGTCATTATTTAGAATACTGACCATTAGGAAAATTAACAGAATGTACACGATATAGTTATACATATAACATTACTAATATAATATACTAAGTATTATAATCTATTATTTTCTATTAATATATTTAAATTAAAAAGTAATGTGCCCATATTTAACACAATAGGCCACGCGTGATATTTTATACTACATGTATCTTAAGAATAAAAATTACTGTTAGGTATAATCTTTTACGAATATCCATTTCGACAAAATAGATTTAACTAAAAACAGAACAATTTAAAGTTTAAACCCATTCTATCCAAAGACGAATACGACGACGATCAAAAATTAATGTTCTTGTTTCAAATGCTGTAATTGCACATTCGATAATAACGATATTGATAATAATAATTGAACGTCTCAAAATTCAGTCTATAACTTATTAAAGTAACAAAACAAAACACACACACACACACACACACACACACATAAACTAGAAAAACATTATGTGATGGCTTTTAAAACGTTCGAATCGTAATTGTGGGTGGCACGTTTTGACATGGTTCACCGAATAGGTTGTTTTTCGCACACGCCTTGACAAGCACACAACGATGCCGAAAAACCGTCCGCCAAAACCACCTCGACCGGGCGCCCCATCGAACTGGTCTTGTCACGAAACGATATTGTACGCCGTGAAACATTAATTCAATCGCCGTCGCCGTCGCATTGTCATTACCTATTAATATATACATAATATACCCATATTATTATAATTATTATTATTTTATCGACACACAACGATATTATAATGTGCAATTTTTCATTACACGTCCGCGCCGTGACATTTCGTGCAGGGACAATCGAAACTCGGAACGCGTAACGCACGTTAATTTGCGGAGTGTTTCACGCCCCCCCCCCCCGTGCAGCGCTGTAGATGGTGTGGCGCGGCAGGGCCATCGAGACGAGAGCCGAGAATAATAATAATAATAATAATAATAACGATAAAATAATAATGGAAAAAAAATGGCACCGGAGAGGGCGAGGACCGAGGACACATTGGGGCCTATCTTGCCGCCGCCACTGTCGCCGACGCTGCCGACTTCCGAGTGTGCCAGCCGCCGTCGGCTAGCTATCGCTGCACGCACTGGTTGATTCACACATTTCAACGACGGTCCGCTCGCGCCGCACTATGATTCTGGTGGAGATTTCACGTACCGTCCGCTGAGGAGTCGCTGCGACCATTATCGCTTTTGAAGACAACTATAGATAACAATAATAATAATAATAATAATAATAATAATAATACGATACGCAATAAGTATAATAGTAACGACGAATCGCGAATTCCGCCGAACACGCGATATCATTGTACGCGTGTCGAGTTCACTAAAATATTTCTATTAAAATATAAATCGCCGTGCAACAGAACACGTGAGTACAGAGAATTCGATACCAACAATTCTCGTATTAATATTATTATTTGTGTGTATATACGTTTACGCGTGGGACATTATTATTGTCGTTTCGAGTTTCGACGTCGCGGTATTTATTTATTTTTACTACGCCCACGCATACCTTGGTGCCATCAATTTCCCCAAAAATAAACTATTGTTTTTACGAGGTTTTTCATCTTTTACAGCTTTCTGTTTTTATTTTTTTTTAAGCTCAAAACTTTTTTTTTACGACCGCGCAAAAGACAATAATTTCGAAACCGTATGCAGGTCGACCGTCGGCCGACAACACTCCCGCGCAAACGGTTGCACATCAAAATCATTCTTTCCCAGATCCATTAGTGCACGAATCCACTGGGTGTGCTTAATTACAGTCTTGTTCGTAACTTTTAATAATTTAATATTTTATTTACGATTTTATAGTTTAAACGTTGTTTGAACAATTTAAGATATCGTTATAATGTCACCGTTCGTTTTTCAAATTACTTTCTGTACATTAGTTATATTTGAATTGTATAAAATATTACGAATTCAAAACTTAGAAATTGTTTCCTTATTTTTATTTAGTACAAAAATACTTTTTACGCCAAATAGGTTATACATGTACATATTGTCAGATTTTCCAATTACGCGTACATATATGAATACGCTGTAATAGGTTCCTATAAATTCATTGCCAAACGTCGTTGAATAAACTGGTAAATCGTCGCGTCGGTTCTGTAGATTTGTAGAAGGTCATACACAGACGAATTGTGAACAGCAAAATATGACGTGATCGGAATGGATAACGGCATTTCCAAATACCTACCTACTGTTGTGATGTATGCTTACCTACACACGACTTCATCTTAAAATTATTTACACACAATTCATAATTTCATGGTCCAAAATAGCGTAATAGATTATTATTATTATTATTATTATTATTACAGTATAGGTAAATTAATATAGGATTCAAATAAATCAAATGCGAATCAATCAATATTTAATCGAGTTTACAATTAAATTTTAAAATTTAGTAATTTTCAAACTAATATAATAAATAATAACAACCTGTTGATTAATATTGCGTTATTAATATTCGTACGTTGGGCAATTTGAATAATATAGGATAATAAAAATTGTAATTTCAATCTAACTAATAAAATGTATTATATATTGTAAAAGAAGAAATTTAATAAAAACTTGATTTAATATTTATTTCATTTTTTAAGATTATAATAAAACAAATAAATAATAATACATAATCATTGTTAATTTTTTTAAATATTTTTGAGAAACTAATTAAAATTTAAAATTAATTGGTACTTAAACACTTTATCATTAAAAAATAAAATAAAATATATATTAATTATTATATTTTATTCAAATCTAATTATTCATATACAATTTTAAACGTAACGATAAACTATGTTTATAAATTTAATACAAGTTTAATATAGTTCAAAAAAAAAAAAAAAATGATTTATAGCATTAAAAATAAATTATACGTATAAAAATAAAATAAATTTATTCTATCATTTGAAAATTTACAGCTGTAAAGTACGAACAATAATTCTAAGCTTTAGAATTAAAGTTGGTACTATAGAAATCATTTTTTCATGCTAATAACTTTTTTTATTGTCTGAGTATAATGTTTTATTCAGAATGTAGCATAGAATGAATTTTTTATAACGAAATAAAAATTTAAAGATTTGTTTTCTATTTTCTATTTCTAAAAGTGCACTTACAATTATATAAACACATATAGACAGTATTTAAAAATCAAAACGTCTATAAAATGAATATTTAAATTAGCTAGATTATTTTAAAATAATAATTTACACATTTTTATGTTATAATTAAATTTAAGTAAGGATTAATATTAGTTATATACAAACAATCCAATTTTTCTCTTTCAAAGTATTTTCATCTAATTTGACAAAATAATAGCATCTCATTAGAATAAATAGTTAGATTAAATGTCTTAATCTTAATTATTTTCTTAAATAATCTTTAGATTTGGTTTTGTCAAAATATATGTTTATAAATGTGTATATTATTTTATAATGTAACAAAAAAATATATGATGTCTGAAAACAGCATCTCGTAACCGTACTCTTATAGTTGAAAGAGAATTTACCACATCTTGGATATTGAACTAGTAAGCTTATGCAATGACCAGATGTTTCTATGGCGACGACATTTAGAGTAATTTATAGTTAGAAATCATTGCACCTGTGTGAAAAGTACGTTTAAAAGAAACATCCTATCCTATCCCATAATTGGCACACCAATAGTGTCCCGTTTATATCGAGCCAAACGTTACAAATTAATAAATACTTGTCACTAACAAAACACAGGTATAAAATTAAACGTCTTATAGGATGTTAGTAATTTCAGAACTCACTCGCAATGGTACCGCTAAATGTTTGTTAATATCAAACACGGGCATAGAATTAAATGGCAAACGGTTAAAATTGTGATTTCTGAACATGTGATTGTGTCGTTGAATATATTGAAATTGAATAAAGCAAGAGTATTTTTTAAGGAATGAAAACGGAATGGTTGTGTCACGTATTTTTTTACTCAATAATTTAAAATGGGATAATAAAGAATGCTAAACAGATCTATAATATATTAAAAAGAAATATAATAAAACCCATATTATAATCATACTATATAACAAAATAAATGACAAAAGGAAAATCGTGATTGAAATATGATCGGATCTGATGGTTTTTTTTTTTTTTTTTTACTTAGCTTTGAAAAATTTGTCGTGCACGGATTAATAATCAACACAAAAGTCTTTTATGTTTAAAATTATCAATACACTGGTAGGTTTTTGTTTATAAATCGTATCAAAAAGATTTTAAAATTGATGGTAATGTGTGATTTGTGATTCGTAACTCAACAGGGAAACTAAAAGGAAAAAATAAAAGCTGCAAGCTGTGTATCACTGATAAACAAGAATTGAGTTCAGTAAATAATATATTATTAAATAAGGGTAACCTCTTTCATATAATTTACGTTTGATATCATGGTGCTACTCTGTGTTTGGTAAATTAATTTGTATTATATATATATATACAAAAAGTTATTATTTCTTAAGTTCTTTTTAGATTATTTATTATCTAAAAACACATTTTACGGAAGGGATCGTTGGTTTGAAACGTTTCATCTATTATTTTTTTAAACTAATTTCACAGACAGTTTAGTCCAATATCTTCAACGTGAACTCTGGTCAAAACACATCGATATCACTTTATAAAGCGATTATTTTATTTCAGATCAAAAATGTACGGGCTTTTATTGGAAAACCTCTCGGAATATATAAAAAAAATGTACGGCGAAGACAGATGGGAGGAGATTCGACGAATGGCTAATGTTGATCAACCTAGTTTTAGCGTACACCAAGTATATTGTGAAACACTTATTCCACGACTAGCAAAAAAATCCCAAGAAGTATTTTATGCACATTTAACTACATTCATAAAAATGATTTACTTAAATGTATTTATAATATCATTAATTTGTTGAAACTTGTAATTTGATGTGTTTTTAAGGTACTTGGAATTACGGAGAAAGAATTTTTTGAACAGATGGGAGTTCATTTTGTCAGTTTTGTTGGTCAATATGGCTATGATCGAGTACTATCGGTATTGGGGCGACATATGCGAGACTTTCTAAATGGTATATAATCAGTTACAATTACAAATTAATTATTGTTTAATCCATTTTAAAATTACTCTGATACATAAGAGTTTTACTTTTTAATGTAACATTGAAATCGATACCTTTCTATCTAAAATAATTTTATAGTAGAAATCTATAATCTAAATTTCATGATAACGGTTATTTATAGAACAAATAGTAACGATTCACAAGTTTCATTCATACGTTTATTCGTGACTTGAATCAATAATGCACGTTTGACCTTAAAATATATGCGCTCATATTATGTACACATGTATGAAACCCTACATTCTCCATCATAATATGCACTTCAAATTAAACTATCATTGTGCATAGAATAATATTGATTATTAATGAAACAAATAAAGTTTCGTATCATTTCACAATCTATGAACAACGATATTATTATACTGATGATATTTTATTTCTATAATCAAAATAGTTTACAAACTTATCTGATATAAATATTAAATAGCATTATAGTAGTACAGGTATCTAATAAAATAAGTTTTTTTAAATATTAATTATAACTGTTTATCTACTCTTGTTTAATTAAACAATGTAATATGCATAAATTCTGAATTTTTTTATATTTTATATAAATCATATTATATTAGGTATATTACTTCTACAAATTTATATTGCATACACAATATGATATAATATGCTAATCGTTATTCACTATCTTTCTAGTTAAATATTTTGAATAAATATTAATACCTAACTATTTGTTATTTTTTCTAAAAATTTTGTATAATTTTTATAAAAAAAAAACTAGATGTTTTGACTAATATTTGTATACTTACATTTTTAAAAATATAACTGTGTTATTTTTCTAAGTTTTTAAGTATTATGTATAATGTATATGCATTTATTTTTTATTATCTTTCCCTCCCTAGTGTCAACTTATTTATTTTTCATATTTTTATCTTATTCCATTTCTCAAAACTAACTTAATACTATAAGCTAGTTGAGTTTATTTACTTATAATATATTAGTATATTAAAACAACGTGTATTTTTCTACTGGTGAAGCCTACATAGAATCAACAATGTTGCAGACAATTAATAATGTTCGTGATTGTTACAAAGTTATGAAACAGCAAAAATAAACAAATATGAATAAAAAAACATGAAATGATAATATGAATACACAATAAAATAAATTTTTATAATTTAACCTATAAAATATAAATCTTATGAAAGTATTTAATTAAATTTGTTTAATTAAAATTGTTATTATTTCCTGTTTACCTAGGTGCTATATAATTAAATAAACAATGTATTTTGTTAAATCGCATTATCAACTTATGTGTTTAATATATTATAGGCATGCTAATTTAATTTAAAACATTTTATACTTATTTTTAGTAAATTTTAAATAAGAAACTTCGTTCAATGTGATATTTGTAATGTTTCATATAATTAATAACACGAATTATTACACTTTTTTATTTTTCTGTTATTTATTAATGCTTTTAATCATCAAAAATAAAAATAGCAGGGACACTAAATTAATCGTTTTACTTATTTATTTTTATTGTTATATATTTGTAATAAATTGATTGGATTGGGTATAACAACTAATAAAACATATAGTAGCATGTTATGAAAAAAAATCCACTAGATTATAACGCAATGTTACATACTATATTATATATTATTATATTACTATTAAAAAATAATGGTATACATTTTTTTGTCAATTCTTTGAAAATGTATTTTAAATATATTTAGATTTGGTTTTATTAATATTCATACTAATAAAATTAGCACTTAAAAATATTTTATAGATTGTTAAATATGGATTATAGGTTTGGATAATTTACATGAATATCTAAAGTTTTCATATCCAAGAATGCAGGCGCCTTCATTCATTTGTGAAAACGAATCTAAACAAGGATTGACATTGCATTACCGTAGTAAACGCCGCGGATTCGTGTACTACACTATGGGCCAAATAAAAGAAGTGGCTAGGCATTTTTATCACAAGGTCAATAACATGAACTAATAGTAAAATATAAAGTCAACCTTTTTCAAGGAGTATGTAATAATTTTAGGAAATGCGCATTGAACTAGTTCGTGAAGAGATTTTAATGGATACAGTGCACGTGACGTTTCAATTGAAATTTGATAATAGAGCGTTCACATTAGCATCGATGACAATGACAAGGGAAGAAAAACATCTTCCAATAAGTGCATCAGTGCTGTTCGAAATATTTCCGTTTTGCATTGTGTTCAGGTCGATGACAAAAAACAGACGTAAAATTAATATTATTTTGCTTCATTAATTATTTTTTTAGCTATTTTTTTTTTATTTTTTTTTAATAATGATTTTTTTTACACGTACTCAATTTTAATTCTGCAGAGGCAATAATAGCTGTACACAAAATACATATATTAAACTGATATTATTTCTCATACAGCTCCAATATGATTGTTCAAAGCATTGGCAATTCATTGATGGTCATTTTACCAGATCTAGTTGGGAAACGGATTACTAATTGGTTTGACCTTGTTAGACCCTTAATAGCTTTTAAATTCCAAACAGTAAATACATAAATGTTTATATATTTTAAATAAATAATTAAAACATTTAAAAAAATATATTCAATGTTTGTGAATAGATTTTGAATCGAACGAACAATATTTTTGAGCTAGTTACTGTTCAACCAGTGCTTTCTAATCGACCAACAGACAGACACGTCATTTTAAGTGATGAATCTTATTTTTCACCAGAAGAAAACAAACTTCGATTAAAAGGTATAAAAAGGTATAAGGTATAAAACCATAAGTTGTACATTAAAAAGTAAATTCTTAATCATTTTTTTTAAATACTTAAAGCATATTATTATTTAAATCATAAAAACATTATTAAATATAAAAAATTCTTAATTTAGGACAAATGATTTATATGGACAATTGGCAAATGATGATGTACTTGGGTACGCCCGTGATGCCTGATCTCAATGCATTAGTTACTACCGGCCTATACATAAACGATCTCTCCATGCATGATTTCAGCAGGTTGGTCATCAATAATATAATTTATAAGAAATACTTCGTTTACTTATTTAATTGCTGTCAATAAAGCTGTAGACGATGGCTGATTACTAAGATACATGTGTATAACTATACAAGTTTATGGGTGCTCGTTTTGTTTCTGTTTTACCCTAGGGACCTAATGTTGGCAGGGACACAACAGTCGGTTGAATTAAAACTGGCACTAGACCAAGAGCAGTTAAAGTCAAAAAAACTGGAAGAGTCGATGCGGAAACTAGATGAAGAAATGAAGCGTACTGATGAGTTACTATATCAGATGATACCCAAACAAGTGGCTGATCGACTAAGGTCGGGTGAAAATCCCATAGACACATGCCAAGTAAGTATTAAAAAATGAATTGATTATTAATAGTACATAAATCATTTTTCAGATGTTTGACAGCGTATCTATATTATTTTCGGACATTGTCACCTTTACCGAAATATGCAGCAGAATCACCCCGATGGAAGTGGTTTCAATGCTTAACGCCATGTATTCTATATTCGACACACTAACAGAACGGAATAAAGTTTATAAGGTTATACATTAACAGATGCATAATAAATTATAATATATGTTATAATAATATATTGTTAATTACAATTACATAAATCAAAATGCAATTTCAGGTGGAAACTATTGGTGATGCATATATGGTTGTTTCGGGTGCACCAATGACTGAAGACAATCACGCAGAAAAAGTGTGTGATATGGCATTGGATATGGTTGATGCTATTACAGATCTAAAAGATCCATCAACGGGTAATTTTTTTTATTTTGTAAATTTTCAGGTACATTCATGTCGTATAAAGTTACCATTGATATAACTGCGATATATTTTGAAAACAAATTTAATTAGAAATCAAATTTTACTTACATTATGAACTTGCTTATATATTATATGTACTTATTTTATTTTTATCATAGGGTCTCATTTGCAAATCCGTGTTGGCGTACATTCTGGAGCAGTGGTAGCTGGTATTGTTGGTTTGAAGATGCCAAGGTACTGTTTATTCGGTGACTCGGTCAATACTGCATCTCGAATGGAATCCACAAGCGAAGCCATGAAAATTCATATATCACAAACCACCAGAGATCTTATTTCAGCATCGTACATGGTTAAAGAGCGTGGTGAGATTTATGTGAAAGGAAAAGGTAAGGGCCGCCGCCATTGCTGTGGTCCTGGTGTGATGTGTTTTGATTCTAAATTTTTTTTTTTCAGGTGCTATGAAAACGTATTGGTTGGAACACCGGGAAAGCCGACCTCCATTAAGTCGGGTGCTACCACTGGCTAATTCAGATTTACCAGAATTGGAGTGGGAGCGTAGTGCCGATGCAGTATTTGACATTGTGGAACGCAACACGGACATGAACATGCAGTTGGCCGAAGACAGGATTAGAACATATTCACCGGTAACATTTCAAGAAGTGGCTAGACACTCGATATCACGTTCACCAGTTAGAGAATATTATCGAGGTTTGTATACTTACAGCACTGCAATATAAACTAATTTTTAAATTGATGTTTTAACAATATTATTGTATAGTGTATGATAAAATCATAATAATTTTTATCAGTAAACAGTGATCAATGAATGATCCACTAATCTATTATGTTTTAAAGAGCTGCAAAAAACTCAAAATTGTATAGTAAAATAAAATATATTTTAGGAACCTATCAGAATATAAATAAATCTCAAAATGGAGTTCGTATTATTTTTTCAAATAAAATGTCATATTTTTTCTATTTGCATTAAATTTACTTATTGTATTAAATAATACAATGAGTAAATAAGAAAAAAAAATGTGAAATTTCTAACATCAAATGTGATGAGTTTCACCATAATGTATTAGGTATATTACAAAATATTTATTGTTATTATTTCTCAATCATTAATCTGCTTAATCTACTAAGATTTCAATTTCCAAAAAAAAAAAAAAATAATAATCTTTATACGAAAAAATATAAGTAGTTTAAAATAATAATTTCTTAAACAAAAGATAGAAGTGAATAAACCGATTCTAATTAGATAAGAATAAATGAAAATCATAAAAAGAAAACTAAATCAGATAATAAAAATAATTTCGAATAAAACAATGGTAGATGCAAAAAACCCTTTAATGCAATATAATAAAGAAAATAATAATCTAATAATCTTAAATAATAAGTATAAAAAAATGTCTAATTTTTAGCATTTCCAAAATAACACTATAATTTCTGTAATTAAAATAACAAAATTGAATACTTTTTATGACAGTAATGAAAATTGAAAAATAAAATGTAAAAGATAATATCATAATCCTTTTTTTCTTTACGATCGTAAATGTTTAGCGGCTAAGGTCACAAGCATTTGAATGTTATAGTTTACGACGATATAATTTTTACTGTTCTTTGATCACTCGTAAATCATACAGAATGTTTTGAAGGTTCTTGTATTTTATTCTTATTGAATGAATTACTTTTATTATAACAACAAAAATATTTCGAAAAAAAAAACGAGAATTATTCATTGATAAAAATTAGGATTTGTTTTTATTTATTTGTTTGTTTATAGGTTACATTATAATTTTGAGGTACTATTATTCTTTCAAATATTATATTATCAATGATTTACTTTTTAATTTTAATCGAATATTAATAATACCTACAATAATGAAAAAAAAATTATATTTATTAATTTATGAAGATTAATATGTATTATCGAAAACGCTAATTTTACAGTTATTAAATTTAATAATTTTGAATATATTATAATAATATACTTCTTTTTTTTAACAATACCAAATATATTTTAATATCAATAATAATGTGTGGCTTCAATCACTCAATAAAATATAGAATTCATTGCAAAAACATAATACTAAATATGTATTATTTTATACATGTATATTATTGGGATTATTTTAAGCACCTACTTAATTTTATTTAATGCACCTATGATGTATTTTAGAATAAGAATAAAAATAAAAACACGATTTAAAGCTAGTGTTTTATATTATCATAAAAATAACATACTTACAATATGTTTGCGCATGACTTGAAAAATGAAAATGTACCGTAAACTTTTTAAACGAACACTTAAATTATATTATTATGATAGTACTTGTTTTAAGTAATTTATTTAAGAAAAACACAACGTTAAATATTGCTTTTATTTTATCAAATTAAATCTATTTTACCACGCAATACGACTAAGTTAAGTATTATCATTTGAAAAATGTTAAATAACAGTATAATTACTATGGATAAATAATATAATAAATTAAATTTCATTTTATTTAAAACTTGTTAGTCTTAAGAGACACGCAAATATTAATTTGATAGGTATCTAAATATAAATTATAACGAACAATAAATAAATAAATAAACTTATAATTAGTGAACATATTATCTTATTAAGATAATTAAAAATATTATCATACTAAATAATAAATTGTACTTACCTAGTTAATATAATTTAAGATTTTATTTAGTCAAAAAGTAAGTTGAAACCTATTATACTTTAGGTATATAATTTAAATAATTTTACAAATCTATAAAACTGCAAAAATTAATAATTGATTTGGCTGTCTTATGTAATTACTTTATAAGATAATCATATTCTACAAACTTAACTTGTAATGTTGATAACATTGTAGAGTCCAGATCGAATTCAATAAGTTGTACGCCTATCGTATCTCAGAAAGAGCTGCAACGTTTGACATGTCTGAACAGGAGTTCGTCGCCACTATCACGATTTGCGAGGAAAACCGAACAATTACCAAAGCCGGATTCTACTTCCACTACAGTTTCTGTAGTTGCCGTTCAGAGACACAGATTTATAAGAAACCCGGTAAGTGGTCGTAACGGCACACAGACCGCTCCATCATCACCAGAGACACACAAGGAAGAGGACATCTTAGTCGATTCGTCACAACTACTTCCAGTAGTAATTCCAGAGCCATCCGTAAAGCCGGCGCTTTCACCTACATCGCCACAACCACCACTACCACCACCACCACCACCACCACCTCCGCCGACAATTAAGTCCAATCCCGTGCTAGTGCACGTGGCCGATTACGTTTCATCTGATTGTGTAGACAGCATCGATTCGGATGATCAGCGATCACTGCGAACCCGAGAAATCGACCTAGGGGGATCGGATGCCGAAGGGTCTATCGATCACCCGCACCCTTTCCCGGAGTCTTCCGACGACGATTTACCTCCAGACGATGATGACGATAATGATGATTTGGACCTATCTTCGGCAGATCCGACCACTCTACCACCCCGATCATCACCGTCGTCAGCATCGCTGACCGATGCCCGAATAGTGACCACGTCCAAGTCGGACGGGCAAATATACAGTCGGAGACGGCGTTGTGACGAACTCGATGACGACGCGAGCACGTCTAGCCTGAACCAAAAGACTCAGTGCTGCATGCGATTCAAAGCGCACCCGAAGTCGTCCAGGAAGCGATCACAGTCTCATTCTTGCAAGTTGATCTAATCGTATAACGCATCCAAAGTCACTCGCATATATGATATACATATATATATATATGTACATTATATTCATATCAGCCGCTCTTATATTACCACAGGCTATTGTCCAAGTGTTATAAAATTATATTAAACAGGAAGTATTCTGTATATATATATACACATTTTTTTATTCAAAATATAGAATAGACTTATTGTGGTAATCAACAAACGAGTCAGTTGAAATAAAATCATCATAGTAGTTGTGTAATAGTTTCATACCCAAAAACACTGCCCAATGTAGCCGAAATTATGTTGCATTTAATTCATATTATAAACGTTTTAAATTATACGTGCTTAAATTTATAGTAACAATGTTTTGGGTTGTTTATAAAAATCCGTTGATTATTATCACCAATAGCCCAAACCATATGAATCGATAAAAAAGAAAGCCAATATAATTTAATATTATTTTATACAAATATCATTTCACAAATCATCCTCCTCTTAATTTTACTGTTTGCTACTAAAATGCAATTGTTTATACATAGTATATACATTTAAAAAAGTGTGTTATAAACCATGTAGGTATGTGTTTACGTTTTCCATAAATTATCAATTAATTCATACTCTTTTGAATAATTATTAAAATAATCAGAAAAGTATACGACATGAGTTTTTGAGAGTTTTTGCATATTTTAGAGCTTCTAGTTTATTCGTGTGAAGCCTTATATAAAACCGTTGTTATTTTAGATAGCATGTCATAATCATATGTATCACATGTCATATTCAAAAGGCGGGTTTTTTTGTGTTTATGAGTGATACAAGTTAAATGTTTATGTAATACATTATTACATGTTTACAATCAACTTAAGGTTATTAGTAGATTTTATTTGCACGAGAATAGCATTATATTTCAATAATTTATTTTAATCTAAAACACAAATAAGAAAAAAAAAAAACAAATAAAACCATGTATTGAATTGTAATTTTTTTTTACTTATAATTGCTCTTAGCCGATCATGTATACGTTTAGCATATTATTATCTTCTTATATAATAAGACAATAGATTTAGTTCCTAATTATTATTTCAATGTCTTTGAAATTATGTGTAGTACTTCTTTACTTCTTCTATACCTTATTGAAATTTACGTTTTTCCGTAATAAATTGACTGACCTCTAACATTTTTAACAACCCCACATGGGACGAATATATAGTTAAAATGAGAAACATTGCAAAAATAATGTAATCAGAACTGAGTCTACTTTCGATCTCTCCCAATAGACCATCTTCACATTTTTTAAATTAATTGTATCATAAAATATGTACTTATTCATATTTATTATCTAAATTCTTATAAATAATTCAATAAATACGAGTATGTTATTCTAATACTATTAATTAAATTAAATAAGTTTTTACTACAACTTATTTATATAAGTATTAACTTGTCAATTCATTAAATTTTCTTATTTCAAAAATACAATTTTCCATTTAAGCATTATTTTAATACTGTAACTATAATAAACATCAGGTTTTATATATATTATATAATACATATGTGTGTTTGTGTGTGTTTTTTTTATTTATTTTTATTGTGTTTTAATAATTATTTAATTTAGATAAATAGTTTAATATTTTAAAATCACAAAGTTGGCATGTTCGATTGAATCAACCAAAACAATTTAGCTGGTAATCTATAAACATTTAATTTGTTTATTAAATTACTTATCTTTAATACTTTTAACTATAGGTAGGTAGTTCGAATTTTTTTTTTTAATTTTAGACATTGTTTAACTTCTCTTACATTTAAATAATTTACTTTTGTATACATTATAAGTCAAATAAATACATTTTGTTTTATATTCTAATATTTCCTCATTTACATTATCTATATAACTTTGAATCAAATTTGTATTTATTTAAATAATTTCTTTTTACTTCAATATAATACAATACATATATGTATCTACATAAAATTTTCAAGTGTATAAACGTCTATACATAATTAATATTATGCTTATATGCACTTACATATCTATTTTAATTAAACTATGGAAAGAACCTTTGATTGTACCTATTATAGTACACATATTAGGAATCTTCATAGGGCATGCGTTTAATATAACATACTTACTTAATTGTATTATGAATAATCGTATATACTACACATACTGACTACGTATTACATGGTTTATGAACATGTAATAACGTAACATTATCATTGAAGCTATTAAAATGAAAAATTATTTTCATTGTTTATTTTTCCGTCCGTGTGGAAATTGAAAACCGGCCAACAACACTTGTCATGACTATTGTATTTTAAATGAATTATGACCATACGTGTGAACCATTAATTATATTATGATTTAAAAATACACATGCTAACAGCAGCTTGCTAATTGGTTGTTATTTAACATTTTGTGAATGTTATACAAACAAATTAACATTAACAAAAGAATTACAAACGTAATTATGTTTCATCAATAATATCAACAATTTTAATTATCTACCTATATAATATTTTTCTATACTTTATAGAACATATCATAAACCATAACGAATAGAAGTAAGTATACACTATTATACTACGGAAAAAAAATAATTGTAATTATTTTTATTATTATTATTATTATTAACTAATTATCATAAATATTATCCAAGTTTCAATTAACTCTTTTGGTAAATCATAAACATTTTGTCTAATCTAAGAGTCAGCAGTCTAAGTCTGAAAACTTTATAATTGAATAATTATATTAACTTCATAAACTTATATTTAATAACCATGTAGATAACTTTAAATTTTAAGACTGAATATGTAGATACCTAGTCTACCTAGTATCTTAGTTTTATTAAATAATCGTACAGATAAATAACATAATTATTCTATTTTATACCTGGATATTAAATTGAATACCTATATTATAAACATATGCGTGTAAACTATTAACTACCTAGATATTTTCAGACTATATATATATATATTATATATAATATATAGATAAATTTAAGACTCATAAAGAAAATAAGTAATTAAGTACATTCAAAACATTTGTCAAATTATTTTAATTTCTTGATTTCTCTGATTTAATAATCATGTTATTAGACTAATATCACAATTATACTAAATATTATACTCAATATTTCAGTATTAGAACTAATCTGACATTTGAACAAATGAGCTTAATAGTTAAAGCTCTTAAAAAAAATATAATATACTAAGATTTGTTTTCAATACATGAAAAATATAACTTATACGGGTAATATTACCTAAGATCTGAAATTAATCATAGACAAAACATTTTTACAGTCACATTTTGTAATAATATTTTAACATGGTAGACCAAAATGTAAACATCTTACTATACAAGATTTATTATGTTAATTTTCATATTCTAGGAAAAAAGTTATCTTCTATTACATAGGTAGTTTCATTATTTATAATCTTTATAAGAATTTAGGAATAAAGATATTCCTATTATTATTGATATTATTGATATGGTATGTATAAAAAATATTTTCAGCCAAGTACTTTATTAGATTTTTAAGTATATAAATAATAACTGTTATTTTTATATTCAGTTGAATTGAATAAAATTTATAATATATCTACATTAAAATTTCATAAAAAATTGGAGCGTATAAATAATTTCTGCATTTTTATGTAGGTACCTATGTACACAAACTAACTTGATAATAATGCATTTTTGCAACCGGCATACTTCAAAAAGTCTTATAAATTATACATACTTACCTATGCAATTAAATTATAGGTACTTAAATATGTCACTTAAAAATATTCTATATATACATATTCATTAATAAATTATTTATCATTATTATTATTATTCATTTTTAAAATAATAAACGTGTTAGCAACTTATAATATATTTCAATTTCAATTTCAATTGATGTGAAAATAAAAAATTCATAATATAACTAATTCAATTTTTATTTTAATAATAAATATCATGTATTACTCCAAACTAATTCATGTATCGTCTTAAAGTATACATATTTATAAATATATATATATATATATATATAATTTATTTACATAATAAGTCTGCATGAAAAAAAAGTATATTTACAAGTCATCTATAGGCTAAGGCTAAGAAAGAACATGAAACATTTTCATGTTTAATCAATTTCAGTTCTGTATAAAACCCGTAACTATTTCTAAATGTATTTTTTATATATTACATGTTTCTTAGTTAATAAATATAAGGCCCTATAATACTGTATTATTATTAGTGTGATCATATTTTTTTTTTTTTAATTGTAAAGCAAATTATACAAATTAAAAAAAAATATATATTTATATAAATATAGTATACCTATCTTAATAGTACTTTTTTCAGTAACTAAATTTAATTGTTTGTTATATGCTGTTATTATAGAGTTAACCATGTAGGTTGCTATATATTATTATAATTAAGCCTAATGCACCATATACGAATAACTGTATAAACTACTTTTTTTTTTTTAATTGTCATGCAAGCAATTAATTAACATAGTCTAATATTCATAATAGACATAATATGTTATTGATTATGGTAACATTACATTATTATTAAGTTATATAAATATCATTTAATTGTAATGTAGTACGTAAAAATAATAAGAAAAACAAAAATAATAAACAATTGCACAGAAAAAAAAAAATAACAATCTATATTTACAATTCAGTTGATTTTTATTTACAAAAATGTTTCCGTTTGAATGGATATACAAGTCATCTGTTTCAATGACGTGCATAAATACAATTACATACATTAGTGTAATGTCTTATTGAAAAAAAAAAGTTATAACAAGATCACAATAGAACAAACTATTCCAGAATAACACAAATTATAGTTTGTATTACATAATATTACAAAGGGCCAAAAACAAAAACAAAAAATGATTAATAAGGATATTTTATTCTCAGATGAAATATGGTACGAATTTTTGGTTCCCTGAGTGTACCAATACAAAAATATGTGTATTTTTCATTATATATATATATTTTTTTTTAATACATAAATCAAGACATAAGAAGAACTATGAATATTTAAAATTAAATTCTTGTGTTATTTACTCGCTCAGATGACTAGATACTATTGATTATTTGTTTGTAAATAAAAACAAATCACGGCCTGGAAGATGTATATGATCAGACGTGTATTGAATGGACGGAAATTGAGCATTTGATAAAAAATAAAATACTTGATAAAAGATTAAGATCTTATTTTTTTTCGACAAGGACAACGAATGAAATAAGGATTAAAAAACAATACACAAAGTGTCTAAAATCGAAACGTCGTTGGCCTTATAAGTAATTTACGAACAGGTGGTTATGGTCATGGGAAAGGGCAGATCGGATATAAAACAAATCATTGATCATAGACCGGTGAATAAGTTAAGCGAGTAATACATAAATAAATTAATAATAATAATAGTAGGTAATAATAGTAATAATAATAATAATAATAATAACATGTTGAAGTATATATTATAAATATAATAATGATAATTGTAAATAAATAATAATAAGTAAACGTTGGCACTATACATCGGATTGGGCCCTAGTTAAGTACCGTTCATTCGTCCTTGGTTGTCTTTTTGTAATGTGTTCGTCTGTTTCTCTTCTTCCGATTCGGCGTTTTCTGGAACCTTATGTTTCCGGGGTCATCAGCTAGCTGTGGTCGGTGGCCACTAACGTCATGTATGACTTGTCCCTCGTAGCCGTCCACTCGGCCACGATTCACCAGTTCCTCTCGCTCTTCAGAATTCCACTCTGCCCTAGCACCCCTTGATCCGGCTGACACCAACGAACGTTCAGATTCCCATGCGCGCTCCACCGCTCGCTTGTGCGCATGCTTAAGCAACCGGTGACGCTCTTGTTGTGGGTCAGTACCGTACCGAATCGATATCAATGCCTCAGCACTCAGAAGCCTCAGCTCCTTACCATCTGCTGTCTCGTGGGTGGTCACATTGAACATGCCACCCAGTCGTTTCAACTCTTCCATGTCATCGTTCTGCTTCAACGCGTTGTCCTGTAAAAATATAAACATGCTCCGTTAATATATCAAGTCTAGCTGTTTTCATTTAGGTTATCTTATGAAACTACTTAGACCGATTAACAAAACTTACCTTGACAAAGTAGAAGAGATCTTTGTCATGTTGTTCGAAATGCAAATCCAAGAAATACGACCCGTTAAACACGGACATGACAACATCTTGTACGACACTATTGTCACCATCCACTACAGATATCAATGCTAAACCTTCGTTGCTACGGGATACCAACACACCTTCGCCGAATATAGACCTCTGGAATGCCACTC